TCTCCTATGATCGATCGGTATAAACATCAATAACTCCGAATTGGATTAGTTTCTCCTCAACAAATAAGCGCTTGGGCCAAAAAAATCCTACCTAATGGAGAGATAGTTGGAGTGGTAACAAAACCCTACACTTCCCATTACAAAACCAATAAACCGGAAAAAGACGGATTACCCTATGCCACATAATGGCTGCAGGCCTCCTAAAAAAAGACGCGTGTAGAAATAAACATTGAAGAGGCTGGTGCATCAGTTCACTTAAAGGAAGAAATCGAAAGTGAAAAAAGGAAATTAATTTTCACTTGCTGGCAATTAAGATTTTATAATCTATTCCATATATATATATATATATATATATATATATATATATATATATATATGTATGTATATATATTTGCTGAACTTTCCAAAGTAGGATTTATTTCCATTCAAGAATTTTGACCTTTTCTTTCTTCATGACAAGATGCACGTGAAGGGTTGGTAGTGCTAAACAATGTTATGATTTAAATATATATATATATGTGTAAATGAATCCAAGTTTGGAAATTTTCCTTGACCAAGGAGTTTGAGGTTGGAACAGCTATGTGAAGAGAGAAATCATTGGCAAAAGAGACGGCACAAAACCCCTCTCAAATGGACAATTTTCTCAGTAGTAATTTTCTTTGGTACAAAATATATATATATATATAAAAGAGTGAATTGAAGTGCACCATATATAAGAGTTGCATGTGGCCAACTTTCGTCACTCAGATTTCAAAGAGGTTCATGCGTGAAATTGAAGGCGGTCACAAATATGTTCAAACAAGGATTTGGGAAATATGAAAGTATCTCTCGGGCGCGATCGACTCCATGCAAAACTTCGGTCTACTCATTTTCATACATGAGATCCACGTAAGAATATGTTTGCGCGGTTTTGAAATATTGGGTTAGAATTGTTAGCATAGAAAGTATATCCTAAAATTCCCAATATATATCAAGGACTAAATTAGAAGAAGTTTCCAAGTGCATGCATACACTTACCACCAAGCAAGAGATGAGTTAAACTGTCTTACACTTCAACATATGTACACGTGGAAATCAAGTTTGGTAAAAAAAAGCCATCCGGAGCTGATACTTTGGAACTTTGAGTGGGCTCAATTTCTTTCACCATTTCTTGAAAGTGATTAAAAAAAAAAAAAAATCAAAAAGTTGAAGACATCTTTGGTCAAGCTAATACTTCAAAGCTTGTTGTCCATGCATGCATGCCGTCAAGCTATGAAGTGGGGCAATTTGTAGACATTTAAAAATTGTGATGGTCTAATCACCGTCGGATTGATCAAGAAGTCAAATACTCCTTGATTAATTAAATTTCACAAATACAGATCCCATCAATGGACATGTGTCAAAATCTTACAGGTTCAAACATTTAAAGAAAAGTACGGTAAAATTCAAATGAATTCAAATTTGAATTTGAATTGATTTCCATATATAAGGAAACAAATCCCTTATTTATGGAAGAATCGCAAAATATTGGGAAGTTTCCAAATTAAATGACCCAGTCCTTAGCCTATAAATACAAGGCCACCTTACAAGAGAAAGGACACCTACAGAGACACAGAAAATTCACACAGAGAAAGAGACAAACAAAACATCGAAGCTTTGTCGTCAAAAACTCTGAAGTTTCTGAAGAACAACAACAACAAGCGTGCCACATCTATGCCGTTCTTCATCAAAACCCTTCAACATTCAAGATTTTGAAGAACAACAAGCACACAAGTGCCGTTCTCCTTTGAAGACTTTCAAATCCACCGCTCGAGATCAAACCTCACCGGCCCTCATTCAGAAATCTATTTGAGTTTTCTTCAATTTTGAAGAACTCAAATACAGTTCAACCATCGGCCCAAGATTAAGCTTCTAAAGCCCTTGCGCTGACATTCCAAGGAGATTCAATCAGAGGGAGAATCTATACTGTAATAGAATCGCCAAATAGAGAACTGCACTCATTTATTTTCTGATATTATTTAATAAAATTATTGTTATCGCATTTATTTTCGTTCCTGAATTTCTGGAATCAAAATTTGTGTGTACACAATTATTACAATCTAAAAATTGTTGGTACCCTTTCGGATTTTATAATATATAGAATTTTTATATAGTATTTATTTATGAATATTTTGTAAATTATAGAATTTTATTTTCATATATTTTTTAAATATTTATAGTTTTCATTCATATATCAATGAAAAACCTTTAAAAATATATAAATATATAAATTATATAAGTTGATAAACATTCATCACGTGCATCACACATGCCTTTTACTAATATATATATATATATATATATATATATATATATATATATATATAATCAAATAAATACTTCATCCTCTCTCTCTTTTCTCCCCTTTTCTCTCTCTCTCTCTCTCTCTCTCTCTCTCTCTCTCTCTCTCTCAAAAGTTCAACTAAAAAGTTAATAACACTAGGTCGTTGCTTTTCCCACGAATTAATATGTGAAAAAGGGTGCAAGCACTGTACGACTAATCCTTTACCTTTTCATGATAAGTAATTAAATATGGTGTGAAAAAAAAAAATTGATAAGTAATTAAATATGTGTATGTTTTACATAGTTATCATATATATATATATATATATATATATATATATATATATATTTATTTATTTATTTATGCGCGCGCGGGGTGCTTCAAATTAAGATTTTGTGCTCTAACGGTCTTAAGTAATATTTCCTATTGTTGAGGTTGAATTTCGCCGCGGTCTAGTACGACACCGTTTCCTGCAAAATAAGGATGGCAAAGTCAAACACCGGTGTGGTGCCGGCCGTTAACCCTTCGATGATCAAGTTAGCAAGGATTCTCGATAGAGAATTTTAATCGTAATTTGCTTAGTAGGAGTTTTTTTTTTTGTGTACCTTATTCCCGAGTCGTCTTTGTCTTTATAGTCACTTCCCTTATTCTTGATAAGGGAGTTTCATCGTCCTTAGCCCATGGAGCCTACCTCGTGGAAATCCTATCCTTGATAAGATTTGAACTTATCCCATGACAAATCATATCCTAGATACGATTTGTCATCATTCTTATCTAATAGAATGGTTATCCTTAATAACGAGATATTATCGTCTGAGAGTTGGAGAAATCTGGAGGCAGGTCAATATTTAATTCCCTTTTTTGTTAAGTCAAGATAGGCTAGGGTTATTTTTCCCTATCAGTTGCCCCCTATTTCTGGGTACGTGGTGGATCAAGGAAATACTTTCTATATTCCATTTGTTTCCTTTTTACTGCAGGCCCCTTCCATATTGTAGTAGGACTCCTTTACAAGAACTTCACTGTTACTTGAAAAAGAATTTTCTTTCCTAGAAATAGATAAATATATATATTTATTTATTTACCTTCCTTTTCTTTTTGGTCTGAAATCCTCCAAACTGGATCCTAACTGTGAGTTTATTGTGGATCGTTGTAGATACGTAATTAGGTCAAGTTGTCTCTACCAGGTTATTGGTGTAATTCCAAAGTGGTTTCGCTATTTTCGCGATATCCGATACCTCATCATGTTCGTGCAGAAAAATAACTTGAATACTGAATCTCAATCCGAGGACTCAACCTCTGAAAGTGTTGAAGAACTCGATCCTGACTATGCTGATGAATCTGGTGTTGATTACTCCTCAAGACCAAGGACTGCTTTTTCCAAGCAACCTCCTCGTGAAGGAGAATCCTTAATGAAGGATGAGAATTTACAGAGTTGTAGAGTTAAATATTCCATTCCTTCATCTATTCGTCTTCACAAACCCAAACCAGAAGATAGATGTTCTTCTATTCGTTTGGGTGAGGTATGTTTTTTCGAGTCGACTTTTGCTGCGAGCTTGCGTTTTCCGATTCATCCATTTGTAGAAGAAATTCTTTCTCATCTGAAGATAGCTCCTTCTCAAATTGCTCCTAATTCATGGAGAATTATTATAGGCTGTTTGATTGTTTGGGGAAAGTGTGGCAATGGCCGTCTAACAGTAAATCAATTCCTGCATTTTTATTATCCCAAGAAGAAAAAAGACAATTTTTGGTACTTCCAGTGTAGATCAAAGAAAACGTTCGTCCTTGTTGCAACCCCTGAAAATAATAAAGGTTGGAAGAGTCGTTTCTTCTTTATTTCCGGTGCATACGGGAAATTTCCAACTATTTGGAATAATTCAGATCCAACAGGTAAGATTTATATGTATATAGTTTCCAAATTAAATTTTTTTTTTTTTTTTTGTACCCGAGGGAACAGTACCCTCGGGTACTGTTCATGAATAGGATTTTTTTTTTTTTTGCACCCAAGGGAATAGTACCCTCGGGTACTGTTCATGAATAGGATTTTTTTTTGCACCCGAGGGAATAGTACCCTCGGGTACTGTTCATGAATAGGAATTTCTTTTTTTTTTTTTTTTTTTTTTTTTTTTTTTTTTTTTTTTGTGCACCCGAGAGAATAGTACCCTCAGGTACTGTTCATGAATAGGATTTTTTTTTTTTTTTTTTTTTTAGGTGCAACTTATTATTCTTTTTCCCAGAATTTAAGGACAAACCAACCCTCTCCATTCCAGAAGCCGAGCATGTTGGTAATGCCTCTTCTTACGCAGTAAAGACCTTTAGCGATCTCATAACTGACGAGGCTTTAGATTTGTATGTACGAGCTCATAGCTCAAAGGAAACATCCACCCACTTAGAGAAAGGTAAGAAAAACAAACATACTTATATGTGAACTTATTGATTTTTAGTTAATATCTCATTAAGTATTTCCCTTATTACTTTTTATGCAGGCAAGAAGCTCAGTAAAAGAGTCCTAGCCCAAGTCCGGTCAAGTAATCTCCCTTCTACTCCTGCTTCCAAAAAATTACGAAGGATAGGAGAAGGGAATCATGGTACATCCACAAGCCCTGGAGTGTTATCAGGTCCTACTCTTGTACCTCTAGGTTTCAGCGGATTTGGTGGGGTTCCTACTAGTTTCAAAAGTTTTTGTTCAGTATTAACCAACCAAGCCTTTTCCCACGGGGAATCGATTCTCGATGACGCTAATGTCGCGAATGACAGGTTACATAAAATGGTAGTAAAAGACGACACTGCCAGATTGCAGAGTCTGCCAGCATCTGAGTTTTCAAAGAAATTTCTTCATCTAATCAGCCAGGTGAGATTTTACCCTTATTATGCGCATCTCTTTTTTTTTCGTTTATTTATTTATTTATTTTTAACTGTTCGCCACTATTTATTTATTTATAGGGCACTACATACTCTGTTGTTATCGCCAAAGAATACGAGAAGCTTTCCTTAGAGATGGCTTCCCTCAAGGCTAAATATGAAGATGTTACTTCTACACTTAAAATAAAAGAAGATGACTTGACTAATGCAAAATTAAACTTTCAAGATGAGAAAGTGAAACTTACCAAAGAATACTCTGATAAGCTAGAATTCGAGAAGCTAGCTGCCGTGGAGAGTTTTAAAAATTCTGATGAATTCAAGGTGCTCATAGGCAAGGCTTGCTGTGATGGTTTTGACCGGTTCAAAGCTCTTGTCGGCAAAGATCGTCCAGACATAGACTTTTCTAGGTATGACGTTCTAAGTGAGAGCGAAGAAGAAGATTGAATTCCATAGTATTAGTCATATATATATATATATATATATATATATATATATATATATATATATTAGGTTTTTTGATTTCTCAGTATGTTATTCCTTTAAAACTTTTCAGAATATCTCTGAATCCAGAGAATAGTTGCTCTACTTTTGTCTTTCATGGTATTGTTTCATACTTGTTGTTTCCTTATACAGAACTCATTTTACTTTCCCAGGCTTCACTCAGCCCGTCCTTCTTTCGAAGGAACATATTTTTACGAGCTTCACCCAGCTCGTCCCTTTAGTAAGGAAAAGTCACTTATTTCTTTTAATAAAGAAGGGGACTTAATGTGTCACTAGTCCTTATGTGACTTATAAAATTCAGTAGAAACACGTGCAATAAATACGAATAACCATTTTATTAAAGACCTATCGAAAATAATAATCGATAGTTGAATATTAGCATCCGTTACACACTGGTCTGCTTTATTGTAGCTAAAAACATTCTATCACTTTTAAAAGTGAGATAATAAAATAAAACACAGCCTGGCATGAGTACCTACTGGTAATATTTCCTCAAATGTTCTGCATTCCACGGGTGGGGAAGCTGGCTCCCACCAAGTGACTCTAACCAGTATGCCCCCGGTCTGTTGCTTTTTGTTACTCGATAAGGGCCCTCCCAATTGGGAGCTAACTTTCCTTCCCCCTTTTCCTTAGTAGTCGGGGTAACCTCGCGAAGCACCAGGTCTCCTGGCTCGAACCTCCTTGGCTTGACTCGGGCATTATAGTACTTGGATATCATCCGGTGGTAAGCCGCAACCTTGACCTGGGCCTGCTCCCTTTTCTCTTCTACCAGGTCTAGGTTTAATCGTAGTTCCACTCCGTTCTGTTGAGGTTCAAAATACTTGGTTCTGAAGGTAGCAACCTTCGTTTCTACCGGGATCACAGCTTCACTTCCAAAAGCTAACCCAAAAGGGGTCTCCCCAGTAGTGGTTCTTACGGTAGTGCGATAGGCCCATAAAACTCCGGGTAGTTGTTCAGGCCACAAGCCCTTAGCCTTTTCTAGGCGCGTCTTGATCATCTTCAATATTGTCCTATTCGTGACTTCAACTTGCCCATTGGCTTGGGGATGGGCAGGAGAGGAGAAATGAACTTTGATCCCAAGTTCATTACAAAAATCGAGGAACTGCTCACTTTCAAACTGCTTCCCATTATCGGTCACAATTACCCTTGGTGCTCCGAACCTGCAGATTATTGTCTTCCAGAAAAACTTTTTTACTTCATTCGCTCCAATATGAGCTAATGGCTCAGCTTCTACCCATTTGGTGAAATAATCGATAGCCACAATTACGTATTTAGTTTGTCCCTTCCCTTGGGGTAAGGGGCCGATGAGGTCTGTCCCCCATTGGGCAAAAGGCCACGGCCCTGTAAGAGGGGTTAACTTTTCTGCTGGTTGTTTTGGGACATTGGCGAATCTCTGACACTTGTCACATTTCTTCACAAACTCAAGTGCATCTGTCCTCATAGTAGGCCAAAAGTATCCTTGTCGGATAGCTTTATGCGCTAGTGATCTGCCCCCAGCATGATTTCCACAAAGGCCTTCATGTATGTCCTTTAGAATGTAATTTGCCTCATCAATGGAGACACAACGCAAGTAGGGTAGAGAAAATCCCTTCTTGTAGAGAACCCCATCAACGAGGGAATATTTTGCCGCACGCATCCTAATCTTTCGTGCTTCCATGCGGTCCTAGGGTAGCTCTTCGTTCTCAATGTACTTGATATTGGGTTCTGCCCACTCCATGCCATGGGCCACCTGGTGTATTTTCTGTGGCCAATCCCAGACCGTGCTAGGCTCATCCAAATATCCTACGGGTATGGCTTTATCTTCCTCTGTGGTTGCCAGTCGAGCCAGGGCGTCTACCTGCGCATTCTCTTCTCGGGGAATCCGGTGAATAGAAAACTTCTTAAAAAAACCCTTGATATCCTCTATCTTATGTAAACAGATCTTCATCTTCTCATCCTTGGCTTCATATTCCCCCTGGACTTGTCCTGTTATTAGTTGAGAGTCAGTATATGCTACTAGTCGTTCAACTTCCAAAGCTTTCGCCATCCTGAGGCCTGCTAGGAGGGCTTCATACTCTGCCTCATTGTTGGTTGCTTTAAAACCAAACCTGAGTGCATATTTGATGCATTCCCATTTGGGGAGATAATTACTAGCCCTGCCCCACTTGCACGGGCGTTGACAGACCCATCCACATATAACGTCCAAGTAGATTCGGCTTCTTCCTGCTTATCTGCAGCATGCTCGGGCCCATCTTCTGGTGTGAATTCCGCTATAACATCTGCCAGTACCTGGGCTTTTAAGGCCGTTCGAGGTTTGTATTGGATATCGAACTCTCCAAGTTCTACCGACCACTTCATGAGTCGCCCTGAAGTATCAGGTTTGCGGAGAACCTGCCTAAGTGGTTGGTCCGTCAATACTATTATTGTATGAGCTTGGAAGTAAGGCCTGAGTTTCCTCGCGGAGATAACTAGAGTAAATGCTAACTTTTCTATCCTTGGGTACCTTTCTTCCGCCCCCCTGAATGCACGACTAATATAATATACCGGTTTCTGGTTTCCATCCTCTTCGCGGACCAAGGCTGAGCTTACTGCCGACGGAGAAACTGCCAAGTACAAATACAACTGTTCTCCTTGCATCGCCCGCGACAATAATGGTGGTGAAGTGAGATACTCCTTTAGCTCTGTAAAAGCTTGCTCGCACTCAGGGATCCATGAAAAAGCTTTCCTGAGCACACGGAAAAAAGGCAAACACCTATCGGTCGCCCTGGAAATCAACCTGTTCAGAGCTACGATCCTTCCTGTCAACCTTTGAAGTTCCTTGGTCGATGCTGGAGACTACATGTTGAGAATCACCTGGACCTTCTCAGGGTTAGCTTCTATCCCTCTTCTACTTACCATGTAACCGAGGAATTTCCCAGATGAGACTCTGAAGGCACATTTACTTGGGTTGAGCTTCATCTGGTGTTTCCTGAGGACTTGGAACGTTTCCTGTAGATCAACCAGATGGTCTTGAGCTTTCAAGCTTTTTACCAGCATGTCATCCACATACACTTCCATATTCCTTCCGATTTGGTCCTTAAACATCAGGTTTACTAGCCGCTGATATGTTACACCAGCATTTTTTAGCCCAAAAGGCATCACCTTATAGCAATATAAACCTCTGTCCATGATGAAAGAGGTTTTATCTCTGTCTGGCGTGTGCATTGAGATTTGGTTATACCCTGAGTATGCATCCATAAAACTGAGTAGCTCATAGCCAGCTGTCCCTTCTACCAACATATCAATTCTTGGCAGAGGGAAACTGTCTTTGGGGCACGCCTTATTTAAATCCATAAAGTCTACACACAACCTCCATTTTCCATTGGCCTTTTTTACCAAAATAACATTGGCCAACCAGTCGGGATAATGAACCTTCTGGATGAAATCAGCTTTCATAAGCTTATTCACCTCTTCTGATATAGCCATGTTCCTTTCCGCGGCAAATGTTCTTCGCTTTTGCCTGATAGGTTTGAATGTAGGATCTGTGTTTAATCGATGCTCAATCGTAGTTGGATTAATACCAGGTATGTCTTCATGTGACCAAGCGAATACATCTTGATTCTGTCTGAGGAACTGTATAGGAATATTTGTGAAATCTGAGGGGAGCAGAGACCCTATCTTCACCTTTTTTGTTATGTCAGTGTCATTCAAGCATATCTCCACCAAGTCCTCGATTGGCTTAGCCTGGTCTTGCTCATTCTCTTCAACTTCATCGACAATCAAAGCCTTCTGCTGTCTCTTTTCTTTGAGAGAGGCAACGTAGCATTCTCTGGCAATGGACTGATCTCCTCTTAGTTCGCCCACGCCATGCTCGGTAGGGAAGCGCATTAATAGGTGATAAGTCGAAGTGATAGCCCTCATCGAATTTAAGGTCGCTCTTCCTAGGATGACATTGTAAGCAGATGGACAATCCACCACCAGGAAGTCGACCATGACAGTGACTTGTTTTGGGCTGTTTCCTACAGTGACAGGAAGGATGACTGCTCCTAGAGGATAGACTTTGTCTCCCGTGAATCCCACCAATGGTGATCTGGTAGGTCTGAGTTTCTCCTTACCAATCTTCATCTTACTGAATGCATCAAGAAAAATGATATCAGCTGAACTTCCATTATCTACCAAGATTCGCCGAGTATTATAGTTAGTGATCATCATGGTGACGACAAGAGGGTCGTCATGAGGTTGCTGCACATCTTTCATGTCTTCATCTGAGAATGTAATAACTGGATCACCTAAACGAGGCATCTTTCAATGTTGAATCTGTACTCCCACTTCGCACACCTCAGATGAGCTTCGCATTCTCCTTGCATAGGCCTTACGGGCTGAGCTCGATTCTCCACCTCCTGCACACCCCCCGGCTATGACCCTGATCTCTCCTATTGGTTGTTGATTAGGAGGGTGGTTATCTCGTCCTGCTCTTAAAGGGTTAATGTCGGTTCTGTCATTCCCCACAATAAATTTTCGCATGTGCCACCTTCGGATCAGAGTCTCAATTTGATCCTTAAGGTCGAAGCAATCCTCTGTAGCGTGCCCATGGTCTTTATGGAACCTACAACACTTATCACGAGGTCTCCTTGCCGGATCTGACTTTAACTTCGGTGGCCACTTCAGATATGATTCATCCTGGATCTGTAGGAAAACTTGATCTATCGGCATATTTAAAGGAGTGTAATTTGTATACCTCTCCGTGTTCTTATAGCGAGATGCCCTTTCATTCTGGTTGACCATAGGTTTCTTATACTTGGTTTCCTTTTCATCTCTGATCGTCAGGGCCGGCCTTTTCTTGTCTGACTTCTTATCCTCCCCTTCTTTTCCCTTTCCCGCAATCATTGCATCTTCAGCATTCATATGTCTTTTAGCTCGAACCAATAACTCGGCCATGTTGGTAGGAGGTTCCTCTGATAAAGAGAAGAGAAATCTTGAGGTTTGAAGTCCTCCCATGAAGGCGGCTAGG